CAATTATGCCCCATGCACTAATCATACTACCACTCTTGTCAATCAATCAATCACCTCACTCCCACCTTGCAAGGGTAATACATTTCTATTCTATGTTCTTAAAAGCAACTTTTGACAACATTCTTTATCCAAACTTCTTTAAGTTTTTTTTTTTATTGGGTCATCTTGGACAAATGTTTTGATCAAACATTCACAGAATAATATTGAAAGAGTTTATCAATATATTCTAAGATAATCGAGAAGAACCTAAATAATTTGAGAAGAATAGAAACCTATAAAAGTTTTTGGCATAATCACATATGTTTTTATAAACTGTAATTTTAAAGTTGTCATTAAAATTTATTTTAAAAATGACCAGAGCCAATTTATTAAGTTTAAAAGAAATTAAAATTCAAACTAATATTAAAAGCTTAGGCTTTTTATGCATCAAATTTAATCACATGAAAGGAATAGCAATTTTTTAAATGGAATTAATTTTACACTTGTACAAATTATAAAACAATATTCAATAGAATCAATATTCATTTATTTGAAAAATAAAAGTAAAATAAAAAATTATAATATCATATATTTGATATTACATATTAATTCTTTAATGTCTTCATAATACATGTATATTAATGAACTTTTAAATTGACATGAATTCAAAATTATTTTCATTGTTTTAAATTGTAATAGTACACAAAAATAGACCAAATAATTAAAAGATATAATAAATATAAAAAATTAGATTTAAATTATTTTTTTTACAATTTAATGGCAACATCAATGTCTTTTCAACACATAAATTAAAAATTTGAAGACATACAAATTGATATGATATGTTTTAAACTTGTCACAAAGCATTAAAAAAAATTACATTGTTAAGAAGGCTTATGTTTATATTATAGAGAACCTAAGCATATTGCTTAAAATTATCCAAAAAAAAAAAACAACCACAAAATAAAAGGAATGATTGTCAAAAAATACTATATGCTGAAAAACATATTTATCTAGCTACAATAAGGATAGTTATTGAAGAAATAGGACTTTGAAGTCACAACACATAGCATTAATTAGGTTGCATACAAAGCAAATAGAATAAGATAACTCTCACTTCCATTACCTGTTACTTATAAGTGGTAGCTATTGTCTTAATGGACAACTTCCATCCTACATCCATCCAATATGAATACATCCATCCAATATTCTACCAAGACTATTTATTGATATTATATCTACTATGAAGATATATTTTTAGCATATCTTCTATATCTTTAAGATTCATAATCTGTTCATCTGTCTTTTCTATAAGTCTTCTTACATACCAAGAGCCAATCCTTTGACCATTAACAACTTACTTAAGGTGATATCCTCTACAAGGTAACTTATTTTACTTTCACTTTTATTTACTTACTTACTTACTTTAACAATAATATGGCTAAAATCTTGTGCAACACCTAGTAATATTCCTATTCTTGCTTTCCAAAAAACCGCTTTTTTTTACAATAGATACTTGTGTAAGATTTAAAAATCACAATGTCTCTATTTTGCTAGATTTAAAAGCCTTAGCTTATTTTTTAGATAAAAGATTTTTTAAAAGACATAAAATATTTAAAAATATATGTATTAAATTTAGGCATGTAGAAATTATAAATAATTATCTATTATCTTTTGAAGAGGTTATTAATAAAACCATTTATATAAATATATGTAATATTAAATAATTATATTAATTTAATAATATTTAATATTATTAGATTTACTCTTAATTTAATTATTTTAGAATTATCTTGGTTATAAAAATATAATTTCTAAATAGATTGGATTTCTTGTAATCTCAATCTTTTCTAAAATATAATAATTTTTTTTGCTAACCAAGTATAAAGTTATAAATTTAGTACAATCAAATCTATACTTGTCAGTATAAGAGCTTTCATGTATATTGTAAAAAAATGATCACCTTTTGTTATACATGACACATCCATTTCTAGTAACAAAAAGGTATTAAGTAGCATTTAATATAGTATACAAATTATTAAGATGACTTTGAAAAGAAATATGTGGATATTCTTTCAAAGCATTTTTTTAAGATTGCACAATGAATCTTCAAGAAAAAGCTCAATAGCCATTTGGATAAATCTATAGTTTATAATAAAATAAATTGATCAAACTTAAGGACTACACTGATGACAAATTGGAGAAGAATTTCACATGCTATTTGTCAAGGATATACTTATTTATTCAAATATTTACCTAAATAATTAAATAGAAGTAAGTAAAAATAAATTTATTTTATAGTATTTTTTAGAAAATATTCTTAGAAGCTTTATAGATGTTGCTTTGACTTTACATGTGTTTATAGTTGATTGATAGTTTAGAAACTTAATCAATAAGTTAACCATGTATTCATAGCTTGTAAAACAAGGTAACTATATGGTATGTATATAGAAAACTTGTCTTACAAATTAAAATATGTATCTTACAAAGTCAATATGTTTTGGAAGTCCTATAGGACATTTCCATGTAGCTCCTAATTAAGAGTATATATGGAGATAAGAGTGAAGCCTTCTTCACTCTTATCAACACCTTTCTATTCTTTAGTCTTGTTTCAAGAGTTTTTAGTCTTCTTATCTTTGGCAATAGCCATTTTAGTTTAATATTATATTATCTTTGAGTTACTTTTTAGTTCTTTTGAGCAACACAAGACTATAATAAGGATTGTTTCTTTGAGATTCATGTCGTTGATACTATTCTAATTTCAAGTTCTTATGACTGTATTTGTGACAATAGATCATCATACTAAAATAGTACATATTATATCAAATACAAAAATTTATTATAAGTAAAGAAAAAACTATTTTTTAATGTTATTTATTACTATTATAGATTATTAAAAGATATTATATCAAATAAAAATATTCAAATTATATTTAGGTTTTAGAATTTTTTTTTTAAATATTAAAACTAAATATAAACTATCTTTAGTTTTTCATCTTCATGTAGATAGATAAATATAATGGATAAATTAAATATAAAAGTAATATTTAAAATGTACCATCAACTACCATCAAAATAATTGGATAATATATTTTCAATTAATTTAATTTTTTTATAAATTTATTATAATTTTGCTATTAAAAAATCACTATTTTATGTTAATTATGATTTTTTTGTAATTTGATATTTTTGACTTTTCAAAAGTTAATAATTTTATAGCAAAAGATTTAGTAATTTTTTTATTAAAGCTACATGTAATAATAAAGGCATAATCAAATAAAGCTCAATAATAATATAAAAAAATTAATTTAAATGACTATTACAAAGAAAAATATTAATTTCACATTAACAACAAGATATAGTTATTTTTTTGGAATATCAAATTTATTTTTTTTTGTGGTCAGTTGAATTATTGTAGACTTGGACTAATTTATTTTATTTTATTTTATTTTTGAATAAATCAATCCAATTGCATATTATTTATAAATGCAAAAGTATATAAAGATCTATCATGTGTTTTATGCATCTTTTCTTGGGCCATTCAATATATTGAATATACAAAGAAGAAGATAGATGACACTTTTTTTTTTTATAGAAATAGATAATAAACATGATTTTTAAGGTAGAAGATATCTTAGTTTGAAGGCTATTAAAAATAGGTTGCAGTATCTTATACATTAGCGTGGATATGATACTAATGAATTTATATGAGAGCTAACCTAGAATCTTACAAATACAACTAAGAATGTTAATATTTTTTTTTCAACAACATCTATCAAAATCAAGATAATAAATATTTTAAAAAAATCATTGCTATAAAAAAAAAAAATAATAAAGGTGCATTCTATATTTGATCATTGTTTGTGATTCTTTTGTATTTTTAGAACTAAGAAAATAAAAAATCAACAATGAGCAAATTCAACTCAAGAACTATTATTTCTTGAGTTACCAAATAATGCATTGAAATATTCTACTCAAGAAAGAATATGTTGTTTTTAAGGGTTTTAATCTCTATTATGTCTTCTTGAAGATAATAAGATATAACTTGTTTGGTATCACAACCTTATAAGAAACTTTTGATGTTTGGTGATATTATTAAAAATAAATTTATTCCTAATAGTATTTATAATATTTTATTTGAATAAAGTAATAAAGACCTTAGTAATCATAAAAATAGAGTAGTCTTCCTTTCTTTATATTTTTATACATTAATATTAATGGCTAATAGACCTATCAATTATATTTAAAAGAAATAATGATCAAAATATGTAGGAAAAATAATTTTTTATTTTTTAGACTTTTTTAACATATGATTATTATTCTTTGTGGAACTTGCTCTTAAAATTAGAGAATAATATTATAGACATAACCAATACTAATAATTACTTGCATAAGAAAAATTTGATAAAAATAAAAAAAAGTAGATAAATTATATAATATCTTTTTAGAAGCTTTATAGATGTAGATTTGACTTTATACATATTTTTAGATAATTAGTAGGTAAAAAATTTAGACAAAAAGTTGGCAACCTATTGCATATGTTAGCTACTTATGATACAAGTTTTTTATATATATACCTGGTCATGTAGTACATATATCAAAAACTTATCTTCTAAGTTAGACTTGTGTTAGAGGTCTTATAGAATATTAATACATAGATTTTAGTTAAATAGTATATATAGAAGTAAGAATGATGTCTTTTTTATTATTTTTAATTATTTTTTATTACTAGTCTAATTTCAAGATTTTTTTAGTTTTTTTTATCTATGACATTAGTTATTCTAGTTTCTTCTAGAATATACATATTTTCTCAATTTCTTTATGTCATCTTAATTTAAAACATGTTTCATTTATTTAATTATATTCTTCAAATTCTTGTCACAT